CCTCCTTCCTTCCTTCCTTCCTTCCTTCCTTCCTTCCTTCCTCCCTCCCTCCCTCCCTCCCTCCCTCCCTCCCTTCTTCTCTTTCTCTTCCTCTTTTTGCAAAAGTTGGGTTGCCTGGAAAACAAAGCCGCACTCATCCCTAGCCCAGAAGGTCCCCAGATCTTGCCCTGTTGAATTTCTAGCCCGTCTGCCTCGTCTTCCCTTCTCCTCTCTCCCCCACCCCCCCACAGACAAGGTGACCGATCGACGGGACGTCTGCTGGCAACTCCGAGGCGAGGACGGGATGTGTTCGTCTCCGTTTGGCGGCCAACAGTTGACCTACGAGGAGTGCTGTTGCCACCATGGCAAAGGGTGGGGCTACCACTGCCACGCCTGCCCGCCACGCAGCCCAGGTAACTGGGCATTCTGGGGAGGCTGGCATCTCGCCCTTCCTTTTGGCACTGGCGCTGTTTTCAAGGTTTGGAGCCGACCGTCGGTGGAGTTGGGAAATTCTCCAACGATGGGTTGATTAGAGAGACTGAACTTCTGGCCGGATCTTTTCCAAAATCAGGATTTAAGCTTGGGAGGTGAAGGGTCTGTAGAGCATGTGCAGAGTTCTCTTTCCTTCCCCCTCTCTTACACATTTGGGACTGGGGGAAGATGCATTTGCAGCATCTTACTTTGCGCCTCAGTGCGTGTTGGAGAACATCTTGTGGCTCTTGCAGAAGGGCTCTTGCGCTTCCATGCCAGCTCGGGGACTCTGCCCATCTCCGGAAGGGCGGCGTCTGGGGAGGGGACGATGGCGATGAGGGCTGTGGTCTTTCTCTCTCCCCAGGTTCCAACTGCCAGTCTGCTCCAAGCGAGAGCAACTCTTTCTGGGACTTCAGTACACCCTTTGGGGAGGTGCATAAAGGTGAGGTGAAGGAGGGAGCAGAGCCCACGGATAGTATCGTGGACGGTGGAACTCGCTGCCACAAGATGGAGGGATGCCCACGACCCTCGATGGCTTTGCGAGGGGATTGGGCAAACCCCTCAGGGCATTTCACAAGTCAGGCTGGCTCGGTTTCCCTTCAGTCGCTTTGCCTCTTCCATCCAGGGGCTGGGAGACATCAGGGAAAGAGCACCACTTGGTGGCTCAGGGCTCCTTGGGGGGACTGAGCTACCGAGGGCTGCTCTACGTGGGCCTTTGGACTGATTCAGCACCGCTTTTTGTGTTCTAAATGTGGCCAAACAGCGGTCTTTTCCTGGAACTGCCAGGCTGGACCCCGCAGGGCTGGGGCTGGCAGCTGCACAGCCTGGGATGAGAGACCAAAAGAACTCGAGAGCAGGAAGGGGAAGGTCAGGGGAAGCCAAGAAATGTTGAAATGTGTCTGTTGGGTCGCACAGGGTTTTCCCTCCACCTTCCCTCCCTTCCTTCCCAGTTTGTTTACTTATATCCTTCCTTCCTTCCTTCCTTCCTTCCTTCCTTCCTTCCTTCCTTCCTTCCTTCCT